ATCGTAAAATATAATGTAAGAATGCGCATTAACAAATGTTAGCTGACTTTTTAAATAGCGCACTAATAATTTCAAACGGAGAACCCCTGGTTACGCTTAAATATACCACTAGTAACGTGACGGTCACGGCTCACTTTTCGCTGGCCGTACTATAACAACCAATTATAATAAGTTACATAACATATTTATTTAGACATTTACAATATTTAATAAAACTTAAAGGTGTAACTTTTTTAAAGAAAAATTCATCCAAGTCGCTTTGCTTACTGTTATTTGCATCCATTATCAAACCGATACTCAAACTTAATGTAATTTAAAATAAAAGCTCAACGTAAAAAAGATGATTAATGATTATAAATTATAATAGTATTCGAACACAGACATGAGACATAATACGCACGGTCAAACTGACCAAAGTCCCCCTATGAGTGGTCATGGTGTAATTGGCGCCCGATTTGTAATCCGCGTACTGGTTGGCCGTTAACTTGTCGTCGCAGTCTTTTTGGTACCGCCGTCGTGTCCGACGTGCCAGTTATTTTGCGCATCGATCGTCCGACAATCGTGGCGACGTCACTGCGTTCGTCATTGTTTTTTTTATTTATCGTTCCGTTTTTGTATGAAACAGATATTGCGTAGCAAGTATATCGCAATTACTTTTCGCGAGCGATTCAGGTGATCGTCGAACATACAATTATGTGTGCGGTCCGGAGTTATGGTGCGACATATTGGTCGCGTTATGACACGTGGTTTTTCGGCACTTTTCATTATGGGACGTTTTCTCTTGCACAAGTGATGCCAACGTCTACATCACGTATTTTTAGACCCGGTAACACGTTTTCTTTTGAGGATGTTAACTCCCGTGCATGTGGTCCACTTTGTCGGCATTTTCTGCCCATTCATATTTTGGAAGTTAGTCTCTTATCACGATTGTAATCTAAACATATCATTGTAAGAATCTACAGATTCACACTCAGTTTATAGTGATAGTATTATTATTACTATTATTATTACATATTGTTATTATTTTTACTTATGCATGTTGCGTGCCAATTCAGATCCAGACTCAGGGTGTTATTTAAATGAAATTTACAACTCTTAAGAACAATAATGTGTTTATTACGTATAAATAAAGTTCATGTAACTGATACAAAAAGTGGCTGAGTGTTTTGAAGGTGCTCAGGTCTCTGTGGCTCTGGTACATCTTCTGTTGCTGGTCTCTGGGCTCCCTTATATATGAAAAAGCTTCTTGTTATTGTAGTCCATAGCCTTGATTTCCAGATATATCCTTGGAGTTGTTTTGATACTTGTTTTTGGAAAAACAATATCTAGGATGCAATCTGCTCCTAATTGCCAACACGTGCCAATGCAATGTGTTGTTGCATACGAGTAACCTTAATAATGCATTTCACTCGACCTCGGCACGCGTAATGCACTATTGCGATGTTTGTTATGATGTTGTTGAGAAGTACATAATTACATCCGAAAATGCATTATGATCCTAATGCAACGAGATTCATAATAATATGTATCTACTATCTTGTGTAAGAATATGTTTACTCCCCAACACGTGTCATGGTCATGCTGATACTAATATTAGCAATATTATATATTATATTATATATACTTATATTTAACAATGTTTCTCGTAGCCCATAACATGCATTATCATTTACCATTTATTTATTGTTATTGATGTTAAAATCTTATCCGTAATCTGACTTGATGTTATATAGTCATGTGTATCCTTATTTGTTACGATATTAAACGGAAACAATCCATTGCTGCGTAATTTTCGCGAATTTCATGTAAACAAACATTACTAGAAACGAGCAAATTTGAAATTGCAATAGTTGCATATTTTTATTACTATTCAGTGTTCTTTCAACAACTTTAACTAATTTTCAACAATATATTGTTCAGTGATAATATTAATATTATTTTTTTTAAGTGATAACGTATGCCGTGCCCTCCTGGAAACCGTGTTCAAGGCCAATGTCGCCCGATTAGGTTAATATAAGACAGTGCCTATATCCTGATATTATCCATCGTGATTTTATGATGGATATGATTATTATTTTTCTTTGATTATATCATATAATTATTTTGAGTCACAGATGTTTATATTAAACTGTAACATAGACATCCGTGTTTTGAGTTAATCGATTACCAAAGTTAATTAATAAAAAATTGCAATAATGATAAATAGATGAGATCTTTGACGGATTATATTTGACCGCGTTATTAATTATCATACAAGAAAAAAACTAAATTGAATTTTAATATCTTATAATTAGGTATAATTTCATGAAAACATGGAATAAAAATTACGATATTATTTTTAACAAAAAATGTTTCATCCCCCTTTCTAAAGAAAATAATTAGAAGGAGTTCGCTTAAAATACAAAAAAATAAAGAGGAGCTCCGTCCCTAGAGTCCCCCCACAACTCGAACATTTATTATTATTAATAATAATTTAATTATAATAACATTATTTTTTGCGATATTAACTGATATCAATCCTGATTGCGGCTCTGAATAGTGCGAATCAAACACGATGTGTAGTTCTACAGAATATAACATTATTAACTATAATAAAAATAAAAAGTGTTGATAGCATAATAGAAAATTACCAATAGGTAGATTAAATTTCATTACTTCAGTAGTATAGACCAAAGTACTTACGTATTACCTATTATAGTGACAGCATTGTTTTATTTGTTGTGTATAACTATTTTTTTTTCTAAATTCATCAGCTCATTGTTAATTATACAACTATTCAAATATACTATAAGTACGTACATAATTAAATAATTTTTGACTAATTTTAAATCACCTGTATATTTGTGTGAAAATTATAATTTATTTACTGATGGTTTAATAAACTATAACAATAAATACCTGCTTCAATTGATACGACTATACGATCCCACGAGGTTACAATTCATAAAATACTGGTTTATTATAAATTTATACATTCATGGTCCATACAGTCTACACTATTATTAAAATTTTGAATAATCTATAGTTGTAAAATATAAATCACTTTAAGGATTTCACTTCGAAGACACTTTACCCCTTTATATAATCGTGAAGTTACTTCCTCCTGGCGAAAGACCAGGGTGCCTCCCGGGAGCCAGGTACCCCGAAAACCCGCCCGGGGCGCAAACTTAACTTAGGCGCCGTAGTGAGTTCGTAATTTAATAATTATAAATATAAAAATATTTCCATTTTACGATAGTACAGGAAAATTCATTAATAAACTTATGAGCAAGTTAAAAAAGTCTTTATCTGAGTCAAGAATGACTGCCAATAACATACGTTTATTTAGATGAATATTGAAATATAGAAAAGAAAATGTTATTATTTCCAAAAAAAACTTTAAGTAACAAATTCATGTAATAAATAAAAAGATTAACCATACAGCTGTTATACAAAATAATGACCAAATAGAAAAAAAAATATTTAGATTTATCCTAGGACAATCCGTGCATATTAAACATAGATAACCATTATTATTTTCTTTGTATGCATTAATTTGTCATTGATAATAAAAAATTATAGTTAATGAAAATGAAAATAATGAATCCATTCCAACAATTAATCTTGAATTTCCTAAAATGTATGATATAACAATATGAGGTCAGCGATAATAAATAATAAATATAAACAAATAAAATAAAATTATGACTGTTTTATATAGAAAATAGTTGGTATCACATCAAGACACATAACTTGAAAAACTTATTTAAAAATTCCTGTAGTGACGTGATGCAATATAAAAACTGAAAATATGCCATTTAGTAATATTACCAATACCTGTGACGACAAATAAAATCTATTGTAAAGTTATACACTTAATCAACATATTGTTTATACAATGTTAACTTATTTACATTCTGCCAAGTAGGTGAACCACACATTGATTAAGTGTTTAACTTAACAATTGATCTTATTTGTCGTCATACGTATTTGTTATTACAAAATGGCATTTTACATAAATTCCACATAGTATCACGTTTTTTAAAAGTTTAAATACACTAAATGTAATGCAACTACAGGAATTAATTATAACTAGGATTTTTTTACACGGAGTAACATAAAAAGAAATGATTTGGGTGTGATAATAATAAACACAAACACAATTATTTATATGACAAAAGAACTTAGTGCTTAGTTCGCTCATAATTTAAAAGATGTTAATAATTTAGTAGTTTTATGATAGAATTAATTTTACTTCTAATGTTCGATCCGTTTGTCCATTGTACCCACTTCACGTTGCCCCGGGTCTTGGACATATGATCCACGACCGCGCTCGGTCACTCTTAATGTTGGTGACACTGTTGCGCCCGCCGCCCTGGTCCGGGTAATGATGCGGACGCCGCCGCCAACGGCTCTTTGTTCTCGTTCGTTCTGCTCCGTCGTCCGTTATTCTCACGTGCTCTCGTGTTTTTCGCAAATCGCATAATTTGCATATAGCTGCTTTTGGATATTGTTTTTCTTATGAAATATAAAGGTGATTACACGCTCCAATCTCACCGTTCGCTCGTGCTCAGCCATTCTTTAATCTTGTATACATCGGTGCGTGCTTCGTATCCGCGTGATAGCAGTTCGGCGTGCTCTGAATCCACGTGGTCGATTCCAGCTCCGGAGGTTTTCCACAGCTCAAGAAGGAAATGCAGATCAGCTTCCTTTCGTTGAAGTTCATCATCGAGGTCCAGCTCTCTTCAGGGTGGTGCTCCCCATTCCCCCCATATACATATATATATATATATATATATATATACGTTGTTAATGGTGCTCTCCTTATATTATTTTTTGTAATACATATATATTCCGTTTAATTATTATTATTTGTTCACTCATTTAATTACATCGTAAGCTCCCCCCCATCACTTCCAAGGTTCCGGAGGACCGTGTGATCAGTGACAACCTCGATAGGTGTTAGAGAGGCTCACTGACGCAACATCTAAAAACAATAATAAATATTTTTTTTTTTTTAGGATAGACTACTAAACTATTTTGCGATTGAATCGACATTAACAGAAGTTAACAAGTACATTCAAGAACATGATACAGACGAGTTTATTATGGACAAATTTAGTATATTTGAAGATTATGTAAAAAATAATAACGATTTGTTTGGTAATTCAGATTATGAATGATATTATAATCACTTACCCAAATCTATTTTTTTATGATTGACCTTTTTATTCTTTAGACCTGCGGTTAACAACTATTCCGAAATTGCGCATTTTATATGATAGGAGTAATACAAATTTTATAAAAATGCTTTATGAAGTAAGATTTGTAGAAATCTAATTTAAATTAAACTTAAAATGTATAAATGCTGATTTACAAAGATTAGTATTACTACAATGTCATAAGTGTAATGATAATATATTTATAAATATTTTCAGGATTTAAAGATGAAAAATAAAATTATCAATGAAAACATATTATATTTAATTCTCTCTTCGATGTTAAATATGAACACACAACCAAAACAATTATATAATGACAATAAGAGAAATGTCGAAATTGGTATTTACAGTAATATTATATTATCTTAATCATCCAATTATTACTATAAATCAAATAAAAAAATTTGTATTATTCAAAACAATTTTATATAATTTCATTTTGTAGTTAAACTTCTTTACGCAGGGTAGTGAGGAAAAAAAAAAGCGAACGGGCGGCCGTACGAACGCAAACGCGTACATGTCGTTGTGCGCAGCCGCGGATTGTCGTAGCTGTATTTTGTAAACGGCTATGGGTTTTGTCATTAAGCGCAGTGCCGTCGCTATATTTTGCGAGGCCCTAGGCAACAATAAGTTATTTTTTGGTGTTAAGTGTATAATTTTTCACGATTTACATTAATATTTTTGATTATACATAATGTTATAAATATTACTTACTAAAAAAAGATCAACTCAAAAATATGTGATAAATTTATTTTACTTGTAATACAAAAATCATAAAAAAAATCTTAATTTTATCAAAACTCAAAACATTCAAACATAATATTATATAGAAAACAAGAGTATAAAACTAATATACTTATACATTTTACACAACTTTTGAAATTATAATTTTATTATTTCAATATTTGTGTATTAATTAAAACGTTTTATTCTACTTTTTTTACTAGCAAATTCATCAATCAATGAATTATATTCTTCAGATACTGCTAATTTGTGTTCTATTGAGATAGTTGCCAATGAATTTAATCTGTTTTGAGACATCGTACTTCTTAAGTATGTTTTAATAAGCTTTAATTTAGAAAAGGATCTTTCTACCCCAGCGGAAGTAACGGGGATAGTCAAAAGAATTCGAAGAGCAATGGAAATGTTTTGAAAACTACCAGGTGATTTCTTTATCAACGTTAACGCTTGAAGAATTGTTGTATTATCATCAATAATATTTCGAAATATAATTAATTCTGAATACATATCAACTGAATCTAAATCTCTTGATGAACCATCAGTTAATAGAATTTGAAGATCCTTACAATGTTTCATTAGTAATTCGTCGTCCATATATTTTAATTTTCTAATATTATATAAAAAGCCAAAATTATTTTTGTACCAAGTAAATTGAGTAAATCGTTCTCTCATTGAAGAAATTGCGTGATCAATAAGTACATAAAAATAATCATATTTAAATACTAATTCAGCGTCATTAGTATTTTTGTCCTTTGTTTCTTCATATTCAAAAAAGGTCTTGGTTTTTCTTACTCTTTTTATTTTGAAAGTACACTCAATATTTATCGACAATGCAATTTCCCTAGCAGTTTTTTTCGCTTTTTCAAAACCATTTTCTCTATAATTTTCTAAAAAAGTCATTAATCCATCTAATAATTTCGTGCCTATTTCCAAATCTATATTCTCACTTTGTAAATGCTTACTAACTATGTTTACTTCCACAAGTATTTCGTACCAAATCACTAAACTCAATATAAATTCATAACTTTCGAGTTCGTTTACAACAAGGGTATGTGCTTCATATTTAGTTTTTGGGTCATTTGTTGTTTCCGAAACTTCTTCTAATGCTTCAATTACTTCTGAAATTTGAAAACGAATAGCTTTGACGCTGTTTACTCGGCATTCCCATCTTGTTTCAGATAATGATTTTAATGTCAAATATTTACAGTATTTTTTTAAAATGTCCCATCGGCTAGTTGATGATGAAAATACACAATAAATTTTTTGAATCACTCCAAAAAAACTGATAGCTTTTACAGAACTCTTAGCTATATCACCAAGTAATAAATTCAAATTATGAGTTGCACAAGGTGTAAAAAATGCTCTTGGATTCTTTTGTTTTATACGTGATTGAACGCCTTGATATTCACCTTTCATATTTGCCCCATTGTCATATCCTTGACCTCGGCAATCTCTTAACTCAATTTTGTACTCAGCTAGTTTTGAAATAAGAATATTTGACAAATTTAGCCCAGTGGTTGATGTACAGTGTATAAACTCTAAAAAATATTCTTCTACGCATGGTTCAATAGACTGATTTTCTGTATGTAAATTTACAATTCTCAACATAATGGATACTTGTTCTTTGTGACTTATATCTGGCGTACAATCTATCAACACGGAATAATATTTTGCATTCTGCACCAAACTAATAATTTTTTTTTTTATTTCATTAGCCATTAAATTAACCAATTCATTTTGTATTTCAGGTCCAAGATAGTGGTCAAAAGTCTCTTTACATTTTATTCTACGAACATGTTCAGAAATGATTGGATCGAATTTCTCCATCATTTCAATTAATCCTAAAAATTTCCCATTTTTTTCTGTATACAATTTATCAGATGATCCTCGAAAAGAATCATTATGTTGCGCCAAAAAATGTATAGCTGCTAAAATTCTTTTAAGAACACTTCTCCAATGTAACTTTTCTTTTTCAATTAAAGCTAAATACGCTTTATCTATAACTTGATTAGTTTTTAAACGATATTTTAGGTCATTCCATTTTTTAAGGGCTTCATAATGAATCATAGAATTTTCATGATGCTTTAGACTTGTTGACAAATTTTTCCAATCTTGAATGCCATTAGAAATAAAATTACAATTTTTAACATAATGGTTAAAAAGCTTACAGCAAAAACAATACACACAATATTGTGTCTTTTAGAGTAAATAAGCCACGGACGATTTACATTTTCTCCATTTGGCATTAGTCGATAATAGTATTTTTCAGTGAACCTTCTTGCTGGTTTTTCATCATTTTGGGGAAAATCGTAATTATTAATTTGAATTGGTCCTAAAGTTACAATAGTTGCTATAATATCATTAGAAATAATAGAAGGCCAATAACCAGGATCATCTAATTTACCATTCAATTCACTATTATTCATTTCTATATCTCTCACTTGGTCATTTTCATTCGTCAACATTTTCACTTTTACTTCTGTGAACATATCTACGCTTCTTATAACACTATCAGTTTGATTTTGAACGTTGTCGTTGTGATTAAAAATTTCGTCAGATGTCTGCACTACATCATTTTTAGTATTTATTTTTACTTCAATTTCTGCAGGATTTTTTATTTCACTAACCTTTCACAGTTAAAAAACCCTAATTTATCTAACGAGCCTCTTTGTTTTTTATAAATTCTTCTCTTTTTTGTTTTTTTAATCTTTTTTGGTGACCTGAAGGGAACGATCTATACTGATCACGATCTCTACTCGCCATCTTGCAGTAAAACTATATTGAAAAAAAAGAATAGTCAAAAATCGTTTACTTGGGAAATATTATAGATTTTATTTCATAAATATTAAGCATTAACAATGCCATTGTTTTGTTTTTATGTCATTAAAAAGGCTAATAATATGGCTATAATACCTATGCCTTAAAAAATATTAAAATATGCACTATAATATGCTTAATAAACAATCACTATATGTGATTGTATAGTCGATACTCGACGTACCACGAATAAAATATACTATTTTTTTATAAATACTAAATTCACAATATTTATTAACTACGTATTCGTTAAAGAATCAATTAAGATATGAGATACAATAAACATGATATCTCCCATATTACTGGAATATTTTTATCTATAAGTAGATAATTAAATATAAAACACCTGCGAGTTGCGGGGTGGTGTTGATAAACTTGGTTTATCCGTGTGTAAAGCAGCGTTTACTTTATAAAAGCGAACGAACGAATGAAATAGTTTTAAGGTCGGATTGGCATCCGCACTGAACAGTCTTAAGAGGAAGTGATACCCGCATGTGTTGTCTCTGTCTTATACACACGTAACATAGTTTTAAGTGTTTTGCGCGGGACAACATTACTCATTTAACTCAAAAAAAATGTTTAAATATCATTTAATATTAAAAATAAAGGCATAAATATTCCAATATTTTTTAAAATTATTGTTATATTATTATTATAAAATATATATAAAAACCACCAGTAAATAAATGAAATAAAATAAAATAAAAATATTAAAAATACTTGATAATATTATTGCTGCTAATGTTATCAACATAATATATAATTTTTATTAATAATTTAAATAATTTAATATTTACCCTTAATAAGTCTGAACATAAACAAAAATAAGTCCGCAAAGCTGTAGATATTAGTCAGGAGTCGTTAATTTGTTCGATGACAAAAGACAAATGCCTATTTAGTATTTTATGTCAAAACTTTGTTCAAAATAAATGATAAAAATAAAAGCAGAGGTTCGTCAGAAACAGATAAGCGTCATTTCATTATTATCCATTTAATCAAATCTATTTTAAACGCAGACTATATAGATTTTATGATTATTGACTATGTGTATTTAGTATAAGTGTGTTACCGATTAATTTAAAATAATATTTCGTTCCATATCATATAATACTATAGGAACATTTAATTTTATAACTTTTAAATTTTTAAATTTTTTTGGAAACTTAGTGAGGCCCCTAAATATTTTTACTTTCGCGAGGCCCTAGGCAATTGCCTAAGTTGCCTATCCGTTAACGACGGCACTGATTAAGCGACAGTATTTTTAATTGGGTTATTAAACAAAGAATACTCAACAATAATATTAATGAGATAAATATTTAGATAAAAACGGAATGATCGTCCGAGATGATTTCATACGGTCGTCGGGGCGGCGGTGCGAAGCGTATCAGTACGTCATATACATAATATCACATAATAATAATAATATTACGTATTATAAATTATAATGTTGGATGGTGACAGCTGATGCGGTTTCGACGACGACGACGACGACGATGATAATAATAATACCATACACGTGCAGTTGCGACTTGCGATTAAAGGTCCAGGTCGTGCGGCGAGCCGGTTTTTCGATTATTGGGTGGGTTGAAGTGGTGGTGGCGGCGGCGGCCCGCATTCCCGTAGTGGCTAAGTTGTACACGTATCCAGTCAGTGTGCTTTTAGCCATTGTTATTAATATAATATCAATATTGTTATTGCTAAGGCAGTTCAATTCCTATTTTAAATTTTTAATGGTTACTCGACGCATGATATCGATAATGTTCAGTCGCAAATGTAATGCTCCTATTTTAGTTATCAGCGCCAATCATAACTACTATACCAATTGAGCAAAATGATAATCAATCATTAGAATAAAAATAAAAATATAATTTACATTGTTTCTTTACTTTCGCTATCCCCATTACCCCATTCTATCCATGCCTTACTTCTTTTCACTCACCAGGAGTACCTTCGCCTAAAAGAAGTTTAACTTTTCGCGTACTGGTAACACAATAATTATTTTTGATTTAATGTTTTAAAAGCAATACGCAACTGGAACGAAGCAACAT